GATTAAGGGTGCTGTGGAATATTGCCGCAAGCATGGGTTGGTGAGGACCGTTTCTCAATTGCAGCCTTAGGTAGCTGTTTGTGGAAGAATTGCTTCTGGAAGGAAAAACAAATACAACCCGGACGAGGAGGAGTTTTACATTGACATTTCTGAGACAGGTAATTATGCGGAGAATGAAGACCAAATCGAGAGAACCGAGCAAGAGAAAGAGGTTCATTCATAGATGTCTTTTCTGCTTTGATGTTTTGTCCAATGGAGTAACATTCTGTTGTGTCAGGGGGTCAAAAAACACACTTGTGCAGGTGGACAAGGATACCAACTTAGATGCACCAGAGTTCTTGAAGGATGGTGAACACCAGAATGAACCCAATGGAAAAGACACCAAGGAGATGAAGGCACATGGTACCTACGTGTTTTTTGTTACTACAGATCTGCGCACACGTGTTTGTTTCCACAACAGGCTTTATCTTTTGCAAATGAGGCAAGCGCGGGTCTTGATGCTTTCATGAATTCCCTCCTGTCCCGGACATCCAAGCTTCATTCGTTGGTGGCAGACCTTCGGAAGAACCACTCAAATGATTCTTCCGCACAGAAGTCTCCCAGCAGTATGTTTGTTGGTTGTGTATATGGATATTTTATGTTTTTTGTGCGCTGTCCATTTAAGGTCCATGACCGAGTTGTCCCAGAAGTGCGAGCTACTCTCGACAGAGTATGACAAGCTTGTACTCCTGAAAACAAAGCTTGACCTGAAGGGTTCCAACAAGACGCTACCTGCTCATATTTAATATCATACGTGTATTTTTAAAACAGTGATGATGATATATGCGCGGTTCAAGCAAACCCAGGCTTGAAGAGGAGATTGAATCCCAAATGGAAGCAACAACTTTTGTATGCCTTGGAGTTATGTTTCTTACACTACGACACTATACATTTATAGCAGACTGTGCTTAGGTGCTCTTCAGCTTTGGCTCTGGAGACAACAGTCAGGCAAGTTGTTTATTTGATGGAAAAGCTTGAAAGTCTCTCAGAGTCTAGTTGGTTTTGGATGACTTGATGTTTGGCAGGAACGCGAAGAAGTCCTATCACAAGAACGAGCCAGACCAAGCTGCTAAATCCAGGGCAGCAAAAGGCAAAGCTGACCCGAAGCCAAAGGCTAAGGGCAATTGCGAGCAGGAAGGGGATACCGAGCCAGCGCGAAAGCGCTTACGGAGGGCAAAGTAATCCTGATTTTCTTCGACTATTTTGAGAGAAGTCTTGCACATTTAATTGGGGAGATTTATTCAAATCTCATTTGGGGTCAAGCGAAGCAAGCATCATGTGCGAAGCACGTGCGTCTTTGTGGAAAACATTGTGGGTGCTTGCTGAAGTGGCCAATTGCACTTGCACGCTCAAGCGCTTGAAGCCATTTCTTGCTAATGGGTGTGCCAGGTCCGGATGGCATTGTTAGACGGCTTGTCCAAAACGTTGCTGAGGGGGTCAGCACCTCAGCAATGTCAACCCTGTTTGGTCTACCACGTACAAGTGTATATTTCTGCCAGGCTCCTTGCACATCGTCTATCAACACAGCTCGCGCAGTTGTGGAAGAGGTGGGTCCAGGCGCCTCCTCCAGTTTGCGGGCTTTGGCTGGGGCAAAAGAAGCCCATTCAGAGGTGGGGCTCTGAAGCATGTTGTATTAGAAATGGGCACTTCAATTTGTTTGGAATGAAGCTTGCAAGTGTCAGGTGGAAGTGCACAAGCTAGCCTCCAAGCTCGGCTTAGCTTTGGAAGTTCCGTTCACAGAGATTACACTTCATGATGGTCGCAAATTCCCTGTACTGAAGCTTACGCATTGGATTCGACTAGTATTGAGTCTAGGTTTCGTTTATCCTGTATACTTTCAAATGTATTTTTCTTGAGTTAGTGACTTTCATTCCCAATTGGATATTTTATGTTTGCAACCCACTCCGTGCTTGAGGCGAATGGGAAACTGGCCACGACTTGCAGGGGAAGCTACCATGGCTGCTTCAGAAGAGGCATGGGCCACCTTCTGGAGCAGGTTTGAGGTACTCCATGGTTCTCATGATATTTTCCGCCGTGCGCGCAGTGGAGAGTTGAATCTGCGGCGCACTTGCGCTCTCTTTTGGCATGGTGATGAAGGTCGAGGTAAGCAGGGTTGTCAAAGAAACGTTGTTCAAAGGATTGAGTTTAGCCCCTGCAAAACATGTTGAACGCAAACCATGTTGGAAGGTCGTAAAAGAAATGCCGTCATGTGCCTAAGCACGCACAGCCCATTGGGAATGGGAGTTGAGATTGCCAAGACGCGCAAAAAGGTCTTAAAGCCCATGCTTAAGTTCAAACGCCAGGAGATGAATTACAAAGGACACACGTTTGCTACTCACTTTGTTCATGCCGTGATGCCAAAGGAGGCATATTTCAAAGATCCTGAAAACTTTCACAGCGTCTTGAACTTTTTGGCAGCAGACGCTACGCATGGTGTTGAGGAAGGGCTCACCCATTTGGGGGAACATTACTGGTTTGCTTGCATTGGCCTCAAGGGTGATGCTCCGTTCTTGGTGAAGGCTGGGCGACTACAAAGGTCCTTCTACAATTTGCCCAAGAAACCATTGAGTCAGACCCAGCAGAGAAAGTCCAAGGCACCAAACGGAATCTGCCATCTATGCATGGCAGGCTCTTCTCATGACCTGCCTTTTGAGGATTGTAGCGATGGGGCTTGTCACAACACAACCCTTGGTGATGTCAAACCTTGGGACCGTATGCCTGGGGTTCTGGTTTGCCCGCATGATCCTTTGCTGCCAGAAGGATACTTCTTCTTCGACCCCTGGCACTTGTTCCATTTAGGCGAAGGCAGAAACCTGGTAAGTTGTGGGATGCAACTTATTTTGCCATTGGCTGAAGGCACGAATGTGGACTCCAAGCTTCAATGTTTATTTGAAGACTACAGCCAGTGGTGTCAGCGCAGTCGTAGACAGAAGTATTTGATACAATTCAGAAAAGACTTCTTCCACTTGGAGGAGGGTGATTTTCCACGAGGGACATGGACAAAGGGGAACCTGACTACGTCCCTCCTCAAATGGCTTAGGAACTTCACGTGGAGACGTAGAGAAGACATTGTAGAAGGTTCGCTCTTGGCAGATTTTGTTCTTTGTCATTTATATATGTACATTTTTCCATTTTGTCAACTGATAGTTATGGCAAACATTGTTCTGCAGTTTCTGTCGTGACACATATATATATAGCTCTGCTAAACTGAGGCTGGTCTCGTCCCGCTCATCGATGATGCATATTCTTCTATGTATCGTCAGGGAGTGTGGATTCCAAAAGACCAAGCAAGAGTGATAGCAAACAAAGGAATGGGGTACCTTCTGGGGTTCATGATGCTGGCGGAGAAGGCTTATGAAGCTAAAGTTCCGCTATTCCCAATCGTGAGCAAGGCCCACGGTCTGGACCATGTGTTCAGAAGTTTGCGCTGGCAAAGTGATATATCAGACTTTGCCATGAACCCAATGATCTATGGTGTACAGTTACAGGAGGATCTAATAGGAAGATCATGTAAGCTGGCCAGGCGTGTTTCACCTAGGCAAACCGTTCTGCGAACACTTCAGAGATACTTGGAGGCGGCCCACGTAGCTTGGGAACGCGAGGGCTGGCGTTTGAGGGTATGAACTGCCTGTTTATATATAGTGTCCTATCTTCGAGCAACATCTAAAACAGAATGGACCCACAAAATGCTGGCTCACTCCGGTTTGTTGTATCCTTGGACCATCTTGGACCCGTTCAAAAGAGAATGGGATGATTGGCAAGGCACTCAGCAAGAAAGGTGCGGGCTGTGCAGATGGGAAAACCTAACTTTTCACATGGTACCCGTAATGCTATAAGCATTCTTGGGGTACCTAAGTTTTTGTAGGATCTGTGAGCAGGGGGTATAGAATTGTCAAATATGGCCAACAAACAATACATCCAGGACACGTGTGCACCTTCTAACTATATAACTGCTCCAACTTATTTTCAGGTATGTTCTGAGCCCTTTCACAGTTGTTGCTATTTGGGCGAAACCCTCTGGATGATCTGACTTGGCCTTCACCATACAAATGCCGCATAGTTCTTATAAAGAAGTGACGTAATCATGTGTAAACACGTGTATATAAACATATCTGCACCTGGAAGTTTCGACTTCATGAATCTGATTGTGAATATATCCGCATTACCTTGAAGATTTGATGAGATATTCCGCCGAAAAGCCACTGTTTTTTAGAGCTTCACAGAAATGCCACTCAACTTCAGCAAGAAATGCACACATATGCACACATACGCATACAAAAAAGAAGCTTCAACCATGTTGCAACCACCACTTCAACGCTGCAAACTCTGGCAGCTCCGGAGCTGGCTTCGATACCGTGTGAATTCATCAGCTCTTCAAGGTTGCCAAACACTGGCAGCGACCCCAAACCCTCAAGCTCTTATCCCAAACACTCCATGTATGGAATAGTATAATGACATACATTCACGGGTGAATGTATAATGGAACAATATATACATGGAGTGTTAGGTCTTGAGCGAAGCAAGAACGTGTTTTTCCTTTTGCATGCTTGTACAGAAACCAAGCTGCCAATGAAGTGTTCCGTTTCGGCTTTTGGCGGCCGGATCGTCGAACAAAGGCCTTGTATTCGATAGGTAAATCGAAAGCAGGGCATTCGAACTGGCAGTTGATTCGCTCGGTAGACCTAACCAAAACCATTGGCCGAGTGATCTAAAGCCTCACAGCTGCTCCCAACAGGTACAAGCGGGTCCAGTGCCTTTCTCAGTGCCAAATCAATGAACTTGACATCATTTGGTTGACTTGTCACAAAGAAGACAAGTGGTAAATATTAGTATACAGCGCTTCAATGTGTCCCATAAACCTCAAAATGATAAAAAAGGAAACCCACCTCAGTCTTATAATCCATTGGGGGACTGCCCGTTTGACCTTGCTGTCTGACCCGTCTCCGCGCGTGCATCGTCGCCTCGCTGAGCAAAGTCTCCAGATTTCCACCTCGGCAAGGCTGCGATGACAGGGTCCTGTCAGCCACCGTTGAGAACACTGTGAAACGATCAGAACTTGACCCAAAAGCCCTCCCCAAATTCGAAGTGTTTTGTCAAAGTTCTGGAACCGGTTCACAATTTGTAGTAGTCGTAGTAGTAGTAGTAGTAGTAGTAGTTGTTGTTGTTCCAGGTATCCTGGATGTTTTTGTGCTTAGCATCTTCTTTCACGGGCACGGAGCTCCCTAATAACCTCCGAGACACCACCACAAAGCCAGCTCCGAATGGCGCTATCCGCATTCAGCCTCAGTGTGACACAACGAAGGTGTATGGAAAATGGTGGTTGAATGAGGTTGGATGGTTTGTATCCGATGGTTGGTGGAGGGGTTTATGGTACTTAATGCCTCTTGAGTGGCAAGTAAATCACTGTATGTTATAAAATATGTGGCTGTGGGTCAAAACCAGGAGATCTTGGCTGACCTGCCTGCAAGGTCAAGCTACATGGTGTTGCATCCTGTTGAAATCCAAAAACGCCTTGACTGCTGGACAATGCTGCCCGAACCCTGGGTTGCCCCGAATTTTGATCCGGACGGGAACAAACAATCTGACCAAATTGGAGCCCTGCAAGTTGGGATGAATCACCCACATTTATCCAACATGTCCCAAGCTTGCAAATGAAGTCCACGTCAGATGTGCAGATTAAGCGAGTTGCAAATAACTTGATAACTTGATACGTCTGTTCACATCCATAGCGACCCGGGTCTGACAGTTCCAACTCGTTGGGCCTGGAAAGTAGCACAGTCAGTCGCCACACGGTACACCAAGTGGTGCGACAGGTGCCAAAGCAAGGAGTTGCTCGGCCTGAGGGATACCTCCAAGTTTGTTCAGGGGGAAATGGCTGCACGAACTCTGGGCCCTGCATGAAGTCCACATTCCCTGCAAAGGTTTGAACGTGATCATGGCCGAGGCCGATCCCTTCGTAATTCTCTCGGATCTGATTGGACCTGGTCACGCAGCCACGCAGCTAGGGTTCCACAAACCACACGAGCCATCAACACACGAGCCAAACAGGCTGAACCCCCATCCTTGAGATCGGTTCAAGAGGCCGATCCTCAACCTTTTTGGGGTGCAAAAACACGTCTTTTGCTTTGGAGGTCCAAGAAACGCTCGCAGGTGGAGTGGAATCCTGGAGAGGTGTGTCCGAGGTGTCCGAGGCCCGGTTTGGGAGGCTTGTGAAGTTCACCTCTCAAGAACTACTAGTTAACAAAAAACTTCACGATATCTAGTTTCTCACTCTTTCATTCTATTTCTATACATCCCTAGGGCGACTTCACCACATCCTCAGGTTCGGTGGGACAGGGGTGGGTGCCAAGGCAAGTCTGTTCCTACCTTCTGAGGATGTGGGCCAGAAGCCCTCGGGCATAGATAGGTTGTTGGGAGTTGCCTTCTGAATACTTATTTCCAGTCCAATCATAGAAGCCCGATATGATACTTGTCGATTGTTTTTCATCCAACAACGGGGAACAAGGTCCATCTGTGCTAGTTTCTGTGAGACTTCCTTTCTGCCCACGTTGCTTGATAGGATCGGGCTTGTTTTGTCGGTACCATCCATGTTCCCAAAGTACCAACCAACTTCCTCCATGGGAAACTTATGGGGCAGTTTCGTCCGTGTTACTACTGCTTTTTCTTGGCTTAGAGGACATGACGGGCTCGACGTTCGAGGTTTGTCTAAACACTGCGTAGAATGGGTTTTCTTGGCCGTTGCGATGCAAAGCTGCAACGACAGCACGTTGAAGGCCTCGCAGCGTTGTGGTTCCGCCAACATCCAGGGTTGGACTCAATGCTCGAGGCTGTCAGAATACATAGAGAAGCTGAGACACTTGCCCGCCAGCTCAAATGTACAGTGAGCTCAAATGGCTCAATTGGGAACAAGACTGATGTCTGGCGCCTGGAAAATGAGCCTTGGCAAGCTGTACATGGAGCAGGCGAGTGGGTTGGGTCCGTCAAAACGCATTCAACTTATCGTCTTGCAACTCATGAGTTGCAAGACGATAAGTTGAGTGTCCGGAAAGCCACGAAGCGCTGTAAAACACAGGGGTTTTCACCCTCGGTGTGTTGCGTTCGGGGCCAACCCCCCCCGTTTACCCAACATGTTGCAACACTGAACCATCTGTGGCTCGTGGTTCGTGCTTGGTCCGTGCTCAGCTGGTCTTTCTCAATGAACCATAAATACCATAATTGCATGATGCTCAAACGTCTTAAACAGAAGGTTCAACAACAACCTCAACCCAAATCTTCAGAACCAGAACTGCATGGTCGTCTCTCTCCCACTAAAAATAAGTCATAAACCAATGCATGCTTCCAACCACAAACAAAAACCATCTCGCGGCGGGTAGCCAGCCGTGGGACCGGGTTCATGGACGTCCCGTCCCTCCACCGACACTGTCCCGTCCCTCTCTCTCCTGGAGCGCAGGTAGCCGATGACCGTGACATGGGTTCGCACCCGTCGGACCTCGGACCGTCCGCGTGACCGGTCCGCGATGGCGAGCGCGGCGAGCGCGGGTCCGCGCGGTGGGTGACGCGAGCTCGCTCGCTCGCTCGCAGCTCGCAGCGGTGACAAAGCACGCGGGTGGTGAGTGGATCGGGTTGTTGCTGTTTTGGCCAGGTTTGGCTCGGATGGTGGGAGAAACGATCTGAAGCAAACTTATAAGGAAGAAAAGAACGTTCAACAAACCGCAAAGAAAACTTAATAAGCATCTAAAAAAACGTAAATTTGCATAAACTACAGACCTGAACAATACCCGAACATTCATTCAATCAACACTCAAAACAAAAAAGGCAAACATCATGGATTGAGAGTAGATGGCACAACTCCCAAGTGTTTGTGGTATATATCTGGACACCTATTCGCTTTCAAACATCTTTGGGGGCCAAGAGCCAAACCTCTTTTCACCACTGCGACAGCCCAAACCTCAGGTCCCAGTGGCACGAGCCGTGAGATTGTTGATCTTCCGCAACAGGGCCGTGTGCGGCAACGACTCCAACTCCTTGAAGCGGCGGGGCTTGAAGCGGTGCTGAGTTTCGTTTCGAGTGGGCCACATCTGCATAAAATCATACAATGTTCTATCAAATCATCAAACGCAAAACATCATGCACGTTTCTGTATGAGATTTGGAACAGAACAGTGCTAGCTTTGTCGCTGGTCCCTCTTTGGAGCGACTGCTGACACCGAACATGATAACCACATCAACCGCATTCATCTTCCAGACAGAAGAGGTTCCTGCATGTGTAATCCTATTTGGAGATGCGGTGTCATGCGGTGCCTGTTGCGTTGCTTACCCGCCACTCTGACGTCGGCCACGCTAGAACGCCGCCCAAGTTCACTCCGGTGCCAGCCGGAAGCCGTCCCAAACTGCTTCTGTCCGCCGTCCACAATGATCCAAATACCCATCAGCCCAACACCCAGAAAGACCCCTTTTCAAAGACGCCAAGTGGGGTCTTTGAAAGCATCGGTCAGTCCGTTCTGGAGTGCAATCACCTTCAAAGGTAGTGACTCCCTGCAAACCTTCGGTGTTCTTGAGCGTACGACTGGCTTCTGAGGGTTGGTGTTGGGGACGTCGGGACGCAGCGACGCACGGGTCCTTGAGGACTGCGGCTTTATCCTCTTCGAACAAAGTCACGTGGTCCTGTGACGTCTGTTCCGTGGTGTCATGGAAGGTCGTGACGTCTTGGAAAAGATCGTCACGTCAAGACTGGAAGATTTGCCTAATGACCATTAAATAGACCTACCCTAAATAGAGTTAGCCAACTCTGGCCCTGATTAATAAACCTACCCAAAATAAAGTTAGACATTTCACTGAAATAAAATAATAAACTGATAAACAACAACTAATTCAATCCTAATTCTATTCAAACTCAATTCCCATTCAATTGACGTTAAACCAAACTTTAAATCAATTTCAATTCTATGTTGAACACTAATTCCCTGTTATTTAACATTACTTTTAATAAGGGCTCATTTCATTTCTACTTTACATTCTTCTTGGATCCTGGGATTAACTTGATTTAGAGTAAACCAACATTTCAAAAAATAACTAGCTTAGTAATCATGTCAACATTACATGGATGGCTTTAAAGATGGTTTTAAAACGGTCAATGTATATATAGAACTATCCTATGCATGGATTCTTGGATATTGTCGGGGTTTGATCTTTAATGTTCCTTTAAACCGGAACTCATCCGCTCTAAACCGATCTGCCATGGGGGCCGCAAAAAGCAATGTTCCACCGAGTTCGGAAGGCAGGCCTTGTGCTTTCAAGGGTAAGCATGTGAACAACGCGTCTCTACGCACTCCACTTAAGGAATGACTGACCAGTTCTAGTAGCGTGACATCAGTTTGATGGGTGGAGATGCTGAGATGATGTGAAATCGTGACGAGAAATGTGATGAGCCTCTCCCTAAATGAGTGGCGTTACAAACGTATTGGCCTCTCTTACAACACTTGGAGATTGATTGCTAGAGACACTCCGATAGACATGGAATCTTAAATTGTACCGCCAAGGTCCTTCAAGAAAGCATCATCAGTTTGGAATGGTGTGGACTGGGGCTGAATGATCGGCGGTCACATCTACAACTCCAACCTTGACTCTTCAGAGCCGAGAATTCACTAAGCAAGGATTATAGGTTATAGGGGAGGGTTGAACCTGCATCACACCCAGTCAGTCGAATTCAACAACATGTCACACGAATCAAGAAATCTCCACGTGTGGGCAAACCCATGCAAACGATAAACCAACTGCACTTCGACAAACATATCACAATGCAAGGTTGATGGATCGGAAATAATTGTAATTGTGTTCTCGCCTTTCATGTGAGATCGCAAATCCCCCTCCAATCCGCTCCCCTTTCACAATCAAAAGGCACGGCACAGCACTCATTGTATAGATCCTTCCTTCTGACCCGTTATGAGAGATGACCTGTGATGACACGTCATGCGTCACCTTCAAGCGATAGGGCTAAACATGGCTAAACCCTCCAATAGACTCCCCAAACCCCCACCGTCACCGTGTCACCACCATCCCTGCGTCCCGTCCGACGTCAGTCCTTGAAGCGATAGGGCTCATTCCAAAAGGAACTCACGAAGACGCGCGCCACCTCTGGGGTCTGAAAGACCTGGTGGTCGCGACGTGGCCAAGTCGATGGCACTTCGTGGTCGGGAACGGAAAGGGCGCCCCGCAAAAGGGGGGAGACCACTGGAGCTTTTCAAAGGCAACACTTACCCATGGCTCAAATGATCTCAGCGCTGCAAATGTCTGTCAAAAGGCAAGTATGGAGACCCATCGTCCGCAAGCTGTGGGGGGTCAAAGGGTCAAAGGGTCAAATCTCCTTGGAGCCATGGGCCTCAAAGATTCATTCCAACAGCGGAACGCAAATGTCTGGGGTGGGGCTCGTGAGGCAAAAGGTCTGATGGTCCTTGAGGGATCGTTGGGTTTAGCACTGGGTGGCAGTGGCAGTGGGTAGTTACTCTCATGAAAAGATCTCTACAGCAATACTGTAGTTGTTTGGGCTCGAGTCTTGGCCTGGGAGATCACCGAACAATGACAAATGACATGTTCACTCCTGCTGACCACGCTAAATGAACACCCATTCTATGTCCCGAATCGTAATGATATCTCGATCTTAATCAGAAGCATCCGCGCCAGTCACGGTCAAGCCAAGTCTCCATGGCAAATGTGTCTGAGCATTTCAGGAGACATGATCCAGTCAGACACATTTGCCATGGAGACTTGGCTTGACCGTGTGCATTTTCTGTCTCGTGTCCCCGTGTGTCCCTTTTCCGTCTTAGTCACATGGTCGGTTTTTCGGAATGCAACCGTCCCACCTCCGGCGCTCCTCACTTGGCACTGCGCCAACGGAACAGCCCACCGGCGGCCTTGCCGACGTTCCACAGCAAAGCGCCGTAGACGCGCACCAAATTGGCCGCATCGATCTGGTCCGCCTTCGTGCCCGCCGCGCACGTTCGACGTCGCGCAACGGTGAAGGTCTGACAAACACGACGGATTCGTAGGCTGAAAGGAAGGCGAACAAGACTGGGCTGGTCTGTTGCTTCGAGGATTCGTCCAGACTTCGTCCGACGTGGGAGTTTTCTTTCGTTAGCTTGGTCCCGGTTTTCGGCAGAGTGTCGACAAGCACAGCCAATGTCGACGCCGGTGGTTCAACATAGTTTCTGGGTGTCTTACAGAGTATCCTACTTCCATTAAGCTCACACAAGTATAGCCACAAATCAGGTCATCTCATCGGTTTTCGTACACAAACTGACTTGCAGTGTCTTCCCAATTTTGCGGAGTCTTCCGAATCCCCGACCCACGCGCACCGAGTCGGTTTTATGGTCCCAACACCGTCGACTCGGGGCCTTGTTCAGGACGCAACGCACTTTGTTCGCATGAGGTCTCAAGACCTGGACGAAGATGACGAAGTACGTACACTGCCCCGCACGTGGTCCGCGGGAGCGAGTGGTGGAAATCAGAAATAATCTCAACGCGCGTGCGGTGGACCCCACGGGTCCAGTCACCCAGGTGAAGTCTCTTGGGTCTGGAAACCTGAGCTTTGACCAGTGCTTTTTGTGTGGCCAAATCATGCCAAATCCAGAAAACGGTGTTTGATCTGTAGAGTATATATAGTTTATTGGTTGGTGGACTGCCAATACAACAATGTATATAATGACATGTATTTGCTTTGTTGCTTATTTCGGTGTCTTGCCGCTTATTGTTCATCAAACCTACTGTTTCACCTGGCAACCCTAGATAGGGATACAAGTCTGAGGCGAATCTACCGCTGATGCTATAATGATGAGACCAAACTCAACACAACTGAGCAACATATGTCTAAATGTTTACCAAATTCACTGGTTGAAGGGTGACAACCGTCACTATCATGCCACCTTTGATGGATGGTCTCTGGTTCCAGAAAATCAATGGAAGCCAAACGTCCGAGAACACATTTATTTATTTGGAGGCCGGCGGAACATGTACCATGCTCAAATAACACAGGAATGTGCAAACTGGAGGGGTTGTTTTCAAAATCCCATTCCAAGATTCCACGATCGGCTGGTGCTTTGCTTAGGCCCTAGAAGTCCAAAGTTTATATTACACCACCGAAGCAAACCAACAATTCTTTTCGGTTCACCTAAACACCATCAATATGGAGACCAGGATTGCAAGAAACGAGACGATCAAACTTCGCCTGGAAAAAGGCAAAGCCACCCCAAATCCCGCTTAAAAAGCAAGCGCCAAACAACGCCTGGCCTGACAGTCGCTCAAATCATACCCAACAAAACCTCACCAAATGTCTGGCCAGGGCATTCCCTTTTGGGGCTAGATAGCCAATTGGGTGTGCATTGCAAAATGGTCTAACATGGTGTAACATTTGCCTTGCATTGCCTTGCCCTATCTATTTGGCTTTGGATCAAAAACCTGGAGCCCGGACCTCACCCGAAAGGGTTGACCTTTTGGTGTCCTGGTCATGTCATTTCCTGCGGTCCGTGTGAAGTTCGGAAACTGGGGGGTGAGGGATCAAAAAACCATTGGGATCAAACGAAATATGTTTCCGGAGATCAAAAGTACAATGAAATAAGGATCAACACAAAAATCTCAAACAAACATGAACTAGTAGTATTTAATAAAAACTATGCAAAAAAAATCAAAGGGATCGACAAGAAAATTGAATAAGGATCCAACACATATTTAATTCACTTGTGCTGGAGTGGTCACCGACCAGGATATTGAGCGACCAAAGAGACCAAGGGACAAGGGTACCAAGGGACGGGACCAACGGACTAGGGGACCAAGGGACCAGGACATCAAGGAAGACCAAGGGACCAAGAGACCAGAGGGACCAAGAGATCAAAAGGACCAAGGGATCAGGGGACCAAGAGAGGACTATAGGAGACCAAGGGACCAGGGGACCGGAGCGGACGAGGGGGACCAAGGGACAAATGGACCAAAGGACTAAGAGGACCAAGGACCTTTTTTCTATGCCTCTGAATGTTTTTTGATGCCTGTGCTGCGCTCATCTGGAAACAACCAATTCCATTCTTCGGCAAGCACAGGGAGAAGTGAAAGTCATCCCTTGCCATCCCTTTCCCCTATTTCCGCAGGGTAACTCCAATTAAAGAAGTCATTCCTAAGTCATCCCGTTGAAGCTTTCCCCAATGGCAACGCAGGATTGATGTACTTATTTTGCGATCATTTTGGTGGGCTAACTTTGGAAATCAATGGTTTTAGCTTGTGTCAAACAATGGATATTTCCGCTAATTCATACGGTTTGGGAATGCATCTGCCCTTGTCAACACTTATCTAGACAGGGTTTCACAGGTCAGCTTACAGCCCACAACCTATACTTCTTCTGGGGGTATACAGTCCGTGCTGCAATGAAAGATGATCGGCCATCCTTGGCGTTATGGATGTTGGGTTTTATGATTTTCATCAAATCCGCCAGTCCATTGGACTTGTTTGCCTCTCTTTATAAGTCCGACAAGGAAATGACCGGTCTTGCTGACCGGTTCTTGCCCTGCCAGTATGCCTCCAAAAACTTTTGGGCACCTTCAGTGCTCTCAAGATCAAAATCCTCAGGAGATTCCTCGGACTCTTGCAAGTTGTCTTTCTGTTGCGTCGCTGGTGTCTTGGGCGCACCCGCTTGGAGTTTGCTCCAAAAGAAAATCTCTTTGAGACCACTGCCGGGGTTGCAGGCGCTGCTAAACCGGGAGTTTGCGGAGCCGCCACAGGAGCTGGAGTGGGAGTTGGAGCACCAGGCGCTCCCTGAGTCTTCGATCCTCTAGCTCGCGCACTGGCCAGGCAGTCACCAGTAGACGCCAACAACTTTTCCTGAATTCGTTTGCAGGGTCAATGCTCTCTGTCATACCTGGGCCATGCACATGGTATGTGCATTCAATGGAACTGTTCGTATTCATACCCGTACACCCAATGCCGGGAAAAACGTAAACAAATAAGTGAGAATTTCGTCAAAATACCATTCACACAACCAGGCTTCTTCCCAGGTCCTGTGAGAAGCAACTCCTCAGCGTCAAACTTATCATTCTCAGCGCCACAGGAAAGATAATACTTGAAGGTGACACTGAACACGTTTTTGCACTCTGGATTGCTGCATTTTCTTTTTTGGGCGACACGGCGACACTCTGGTAACCAAATCAAGAGCTGCTGCGCCTTTGGTTTGTGGGGTCTCTTCAAGATGCACTCCCGATCTCTTGCTTTGAAAGCATTCATCAAAGCGGTCGATCAAGACCTTGTTCCTGTTGATGCGTTCTCCAGGTACTAGCCCAACGTGAGCCCATCCTGCAGCCGCGTGTTTCGAGGAAAGGCTTTCTGTGACGATCTGATTTAAAGCTCTGCGAGCGGGAATGATTCCCAAATCCGCATTCTGCTGCACAGCAAACTGGCGCTTAAAGGAAGACTATAAGGAAGACATCCTAGAATGCGGCTGCTGATCTAAAGCACACCTGAGAAGCTGCAAAACGAAAGCCAGCGCTTCCCTTTCTCGACAACTGCGCGTCGAAGCAATCAAATGAGCTCGCGCAGCCGCTTGCGGCCGCATGTCAAATCTGCTTCATGTCTTGTTCTGCCCACACATAGGTAACCATGCAAAAGCCAAAAAACACTCTTGCATCACCACCCGCTCCAAAATCACTAAAACATCACCTCCAAGAGTTTACGTATACCTTTCTCGGGCCACCCCCCCCGACCCCCGACCGACTTCACACATAGATAATTTCCATCCACATTCAGATGAAGCAAAAGCCAAACAATGCACCAAAATTCGAGGTGGCCTGGGACCAGAGGCTCGCTGCCCGAAACTATATGTTCAGGCCACCTCAGACATGAAGATATGCGAAGCAAGGGTCCTGAGGTGTCTCTGTGACAAGGCTTTTGTTAAAACAGACAGTTTTTCAAGCTAAATTCAAGGTGGCCTGAGACCAGGGTTTGCTGCCCTAAAACACTCTGTTCAGGCCACCTTAAAAATGAAGGTCTGCGAAGCGAGAGCAGAGGATGCACATTGTCCTTCTGCTGCTTGAATGTGGCCTTTTGTTTACTTAAAAGTTCAAGACCTCCCAGCTGTTTCCACCTCTTCGCTTCCCAGTCTTCCCAGGGTTCATATAGGGAGCCAGGCCATTTTCAGAATCTTTTGGATTTGAGCTGATCGAGTTCCTATTGAAGGGTATATGTTCTCGTTGGCGAGTGCGTCACCACCCGCTCCAAAAGCATCAAAGCATCACCTTCCAGAGTTTACGTATATCTTTCTCGAGCCACACATGCACAGCAAACCACAGCTATGAAGTCTCATTCGTGCTTTGAACTGGTATAGTATAGGTGTGTCAGAGGTATAGCAACATAGCATTCATACGGACCCACGGTAGCTACAATTCTGTTCACAGGTATCGCGCGCATGAGGCTTCAAAGCTGCGGATTGCTGTGCGTGTGTAGAGGTTATCGAGCGGTTGACGGAAAGGGAACTTGAAGTATACTATACCTGGTAGCTGCACTATAGCCACCCTGGGTCTCTATACCTGGCAAGGTGCCAACTACACCTTTCCATTCAGATGATGCAAACGATGCAAATTGCATTTCTTGCATCACCACCCGTCAAAAATCACCTCCAACACAACCTCAAAAAAGCTTCCCTCGACGCACCCTCCTCCCCCAACATGTGCCGAGTTTACGTGTACCTTTTGCGGGCCACCCCCCCCAGACCCCCCAACTACTCACTTCGTTCGCCAAACACAACTCCGCTGGCGCCTTCTACGAAGGCTGGCTTTCGTAAAAGTGCTTTTGTGCAATAGCTTGGTATCAGAAATACATCACAGCCATGCCGGTCGCAGACAAAAACGCCGTCTCCACCGATTTAGGTGAAGAAGACTGCCTTAGCACCAGAGCTTTTTGTTGGGCAAGACTTTTGTTGCCGGATCGCTTCGCACCGAGCACAACACGAACGGGACGCGCCTCCATGACCTGCTGAAACTCGTCAGAGATGTCCAGCTTATGAGCATCGAACCTTGGCGTCGTGGACGAGAAAGGCCGTGTCGCGGCAGGTGGTCTTCTAGTTGCGCCAGGGGTCGCTGGGGATGGTGAATTTCTCCGAGCTGAGAAGGATAAGAATCGAAAGTCAGAAGTCCAACACCACGAAGAAAGATTTCCTTGGGGAGAGGAAACCATCTGTTTTGCTTTTTCCTGGGGTCTTTTGAGGGCAATCTGTAGAGTACAGCGAATATATGATGGAACATTGTAAACATCTGGTATAAATGACGCGGATCTCCAAATCAAGTATCATGGAGGGTATATATTTCTAGCCATTCCTTCGAAGGCGAGGTATCATGCCAAAGCACCAGCGGTTCTTGTACTGGCCGCCAAAGCCCCAGGTCAGAATCACTCGCATCACATGATCGGATTCCACTCCCCTATGCCACACACTCTGAGATGGTGATTAAACACTCTTTTGATGTATGCTTGGAAGGTCCAGTCATAAAGCGGCAGTGGCTCCAATGTCCTTTCCTTCCGCATGTCGCACTATGACCAATCACCACCAACCAGCCCGAGGTCAGGTGAGCCCACGCGAGCAAAACGAGGTCAGCCCGCTCCGCCATCCATGCGCTGATCTTCCTTGTGCGCGGGCTTGAAGCAGCAAGAAACAAGCCAAGCTGCAAAAGGATACCAAACAAGGAAAACAATTATGAGACTGATACTGAGACTGATGCATTTTGATGCGGTCTGATCCTTAAACATGTTAACCGTTAACCTTCCTTTCAATGTATGGTGATCACACTACTCGAAGACATGTGAAGCTAGGGGGATCTGCCTTTGTATCTATTCTTGGTGCTACCTGTCGTAGAGGTACTCCGGTTTGCATCCAGCACTCCTTGATGAATGACTCAAAATTTTGCATACTATTACTGGAAAAGCGCTGGGTCATTCCAGGACAACTCCATAAAGGTAATAATAACCCATTATTAGTGGTACAATAGATTCTCGTCCCTTTTGCACTTTCAATAACAACAACTCCACCCCATCATTCCGTGTCAAACCTTCGCCTCGCCTCTGCCGGAGCTTGGTCGTCCACATTCCGTATCCGCTCTCTCAACTCCCCCACATTCGGTGTGGAATGCCTGCTCAAACTTCAAACTCCATGGCAAATACACTCCCTGAAATCATCCATGGAAGTGGACATGACAACCACCTGTTTGGTCTTCGGATTTCATGGTCCTCCTTACACATGTCATCCACCTTAACCATGATGATTTCATCTTCCTTCAGGGAGTGTTTAGCATCGGGGGTGGTTGTTTCAGTGATCGCTTCAGGGCGGGATAGATCCTCCATGGTCGTAGTCGCGGTCGTAGTCGCAGCAGTTGGGCACCACACGCGAAGTCGTAGTCGCGGCCAATGCGTTGCTTGCTACCGGAGAGGACCCCGGGAGTGTCGATGAAGGTGATGTCCTGTCGGCTCCAGGTGGATGCAAGGTACCTGCGCAGTTCTTAGGGGTACCTATCTAGCTCCAGGCGTTACCTCTAGTAAGAATACCTCAGGGAGCCTCTATTGGTGCCATACATCTCCTTTATCTCGTTTGTGGAAGTTTGAAGGATAAGACATACTGCAGTTATGTATCTGTATCTTGTGGCATCACTGTCACAAACATGGTTTGAATCACCATTACTCTTCACGATGACCCCTGCAGCTTTTGTAAACCTGGTAACCTTAGATCGAACCCCAAACTCTTCATGGACAACCTCGTCCAACACAGACATTCTTGGAGAAGTAATTACAAGTGCATCGCTAGTAGTAACAAGTGCCTTACTAGTAGTAACAAGAAGCTATTAATTTAATCAAAGTTACAATTCTAATTAAATTATTACTGTTACTACTAGTAAGGCACTTGTTACTAGTAGCGATGCACTTGTTACTAAGCCCGTTTCGTTTTACGTGCCTTTCCAATGCCGTGTCAATGGTGAAACGACCGTGCCGCCGTGTCCAAGGACACGTCCGCGGTCATCGGTAGGTCTTTCCTTCGAAGCCAATCCCTATGACCAGGGCCCCAGTGGAGGATGATGGTTGCTCAATGGCCTTATAGTTCATTGCGGACGGTTTGCCACCCCGTCTGCACAAACAGTTCATGCGGTGCAGGCAGTCTAGACGGGCCTTAGTTCCAAACATCCTGAATTGCTTGTGAAACCTGACAGCTCAGACTCAGACCAGGTTCGGACAGACCCCACACGACCGCTTCAGGTCACATGCTTTCTGGGCCTGGACGACCGCCCCAAAGCTGAAGAGATAGCCTATAGACTATATAAACGATATGTCTACTCTTGATCGATATAAAACACAATCTAATACACTCCCTCATTTGGGATTGTAAACCTCTTCAGAGGTCTACATGAACTTCATCCCTTCCACCGCGCTGCGCTTTCTTCGCTCGTGCTGAAGCTCGCGCCCGGAGGATCTCGGAGGGAAGCACCAAGGCCTCTGAGAGGCACAATAAGCTTGCGGAACGGCGGACCGTGACCGACTGTGACCCCGATCAGCTCATTTTCCAAGGAAGGTCAAGGTTGTAGAAGCCCTAGGGATCCAAATACTATCTCAGCAGGTGTTCGACACCGCTAGGTAGGTGCCATTGTCGGGTCCAGTCGTACCGAACCTTCAGTTCGGTATGACTGGATCCCGCAGGGAAGAAGGAACCATTCCACTGAACTGCCAGTCCCTAGAGCTCCAGTCGTACCTTCGTTTCGGTTTGGACTGGAGTGGGTGCCGTTCGAAGGTCCAAAGGTCGACGTTAGGAGGTACGACTGGAGCCCTTGGAGCCCTAGCTGTCATGTGAGACCAACAAACATCGTGAGAACAACAGGCTGTCCTGTGAGACCTGAACTGATCTTGTGATGATCTCTCTAAGTTCCTGAAGGTGTCATGTGGTATCACATGCTATGTATCATATATATATAATATATATATATATCATATAAGACCTGTGTAAGCGCCCCTTGTTCTCAGAGCAACCATCACCCACCACCCCAACCACCCAGCCCTGGACCCGAAAGCCTGGAAGCTGCCGAGGAAGTCAGCGCCAAACTTGGAGAGGCCCTGACGACCGGAGGTCGATGCCACTTGGTCGGTGCACCAGTTGGTCCGGTGGCGGTCCGTCGGACCTTCCCGTTTGACCGCTCCATCTATTAGAAACAAGTGCCTTACTAGTAACAAGAAGCTATTAATTTAATTCTAATAGCTTTTTGTTACTACTAGTAAGGCACTTGTTACTACTAGCGAGGCACTTGTTACTAGTAGGCGTTGAGAATGATGTGACCAACCCCCGTCTAGTTCCCAGCAATTCCTTCTACAGAGTGGTTTTCGACGAGGCCAAATACGTGAGCGGATGTGAGTGGATAAGGGGCACCTCCCCCCAAAAAAACATCCAAGTTCAAGCACCCAACTCAATGAAACTGCTACTAAAAGAAAACCATGTTTATTTTGCATCCATAGGTTGGATCATTTGGAAGTGTCAAACTTGGAAGTTGGTCCATCCACCAAGCAGAGCTTCTTGACTGAAATGATCTGCTCTACGAAGTCTTCTCCACGGACGACGTCTTCTCCAGCCCCCGATGTGGACGGCCCCGGGCCCGAAACTCAGAGAGTCGAAGCAACTTCAACAGCGACCAAATGAGGTGTCTGAACTTCTTGGTGTCCGCATGGTTCAAACTTGTGTTCTAACACGTGAACAAAAACAGTTGCAATGGAAGAATGGAACTGTTATCAACCTCATCAGAGACTCTCTCTCCTCCGATCCCCAACCAGTCAACCAGCTTCTCCAAATCGTTGTGAAGCATATCTCCACAACCCCGTTTGGGAAGGAAGTTTCAGCGTCTCCGCCCCGCCTGGTAAGGCAACTGAGGAAGACATGCCGCGGCATTGCCGTGGATGATGCCTGGCCAAGACTCATGTACTCTACATGAGGCTTGGCTTTGAATACGGAGACGTAGCCAATGGTTTCTATGCTCCTGGGGCACGCATTCAGCATGTGCCAGTCCTATGATCCCCAAACGCGTTGTGCCTTGCTATATATACTAACATAAAAGGCAAAACACACAGATGCTGGGCAACTCATCTCCAAACAAACTTTGTGTTTTCAGGCTTAACATTTACCCATGGAAAGAAAGCCAATCACTACAAGGTGTCCTGGAAATGAACAAAAGAGTTACATCATCTTCTTCACATGAGAGCCACCCGATGATTGTAATTGGTGCAGCACAACGGCTATTAGAAACTACTCTATAGGGCTTCCTGGGCGTTGCAGAACTTGTAATTGTAATTGTGTCACAACTTTATTATAAACATAACCGTGAATCATGAGTTGCTTGGAATTCAATCGTGACCGGTGCTTGCTCTTTGAGTATCGTCCCAGGGTCTTTCGAGAATCCCTTTTGCAGCAAAACTTATTGCCACGTTGCCACTAGTTCGTATTTTGGTTCCAGTGAAAGAAGCCAATCCCATCCCCAACGCTTCAAGCTTCACCTTGACAATCTTGATACTCTAAATAGCAAATCGAGTCAAGGCCATGCCAGGAGAACACTCCTCATCCCCATGCACACAGGCCATGAACCTGAAGCTCCAACTGGGGATGAGGAGCAGGGCGGAGGTCTGTCAAATGGGTGGATAGGCACCAAAAGCGGACCGAAAACGGACAACACTTCATGGAGCAAGAAGCTCGAAAGAACACTCTGCTGGCGCAGCTGCAACCGTTCATCAACCACAGTGTGCGTGTGATTTGTTTCAATAAAAGTAGAAGACTAAGTAGAATGCATAACATAACGTTTGCTCGTGTCTTTCATATTGTCTCCTGCACAGGTGTCACTGATGGCACTTGCGACTATAGTGTCCCGGCCAGCATTTACCATACGTTGACCGGAGACCAAAGGATCTTTTGGCCAACGCGGGGATACACCTGCACTTGTAACAAGGTCTAACACATCATTGATACTTCATGATTGCCACAATCACCCCGTCCATGATTTGTTTAAGTTGAAAACCCCCTCCCTGTGGATCAGCACTGGGGATCTTTGGCGTACAGTAGCTCACCTGATGCCCACCCATCAATAATGATATGTATATGTAATATGCGTAATATGTATTCATGCACTGCGCCTGTGCTCTGTCTTCACAGCTGCTGAAGCGGT